TTTTTTTTTTTTTTTTTTTTTTTTTTTTTTGGCCTGTACAGACGGGGTGTGGTTTTATGAAGTAAGTCATCCCTAGGATACACCCAGTCTCTAATGACTTGAAGTCAATCCACAGTGCCTCTTCTTTTAACTCTTACTGCTTGGGCTTCAGTTTTGAAAGGATGATAAAAGTGTTGGGCTCTCATTAAAATGAGAAGCTTAAGGACAGTTCTTGTTCAGGTCACCTACAGAATAGTTGGTCTTGTGTATTTTTATGGGGGTTTGGGTGAAACAAGTTTTTAAGGGTGCATTTTGAGTTATCTGAAATAACTTTTGCCTTTTCATGAGCATCTACCATACTTTCGCGTACTATCTCTAATCTTTTTGAGAGTTTGGGAAGGTATTATTCTCTCATTTAAAGATGAGAGTGAGGTTCAGACAAATGAATTTAGAAACTTACCCGAAGTCACCTGGCCTCCAAGTGCTAGAATCACTCCAAGAAGAATCGAGACCCTGGTCAAGATAACCCATGCTCCTTCCCCTGGAGTAGCCTCGTCCCTTGGAGAAAATGAGTCTGCTTTCTGAAACAGAAAAGGGGAATAACTCGGAAGCCTATTGGGAACTCCCAGGCTGTTGAGGAGTTTGGGAACTAGACAGGCACCAAGGCAACATCAGAGAGCCAAGAGACAGGAAGTACAACAGCCAGTGTTTTAGGCGCTAAGGTGCCAACATTTCTGCCACAAACCAGTCCTAACCATTCCTCCGTGTGGGTCACTCCTACCACACTAGGTGTCTGCTGGACGGATCCAGCTGGCCAAGCCTAGGTTACATCCTACCCCTCCAACTCCTGAGCGGGAGGCAGGACATTGTATCTTCATTAAATTCCCTAAAACAGGAAGGGGTTGGGATGCTGGACAGCAGAAAAAAAAGGGGAAAGAATTCAAAATATTTCCTGAATGGCAAGCTATGGATTAAACTTTTTGTTTTCAGTAATGTTTCCGTTACTAAAATATACATGACCATAAACAAGCATATCAAAATTATTACTCCAAGTACTAAGCTAGCTACCCTGTTCTCCCATTTATCTGTCTCAGCTGGAAACCACAGTCCTGCTGGGAATGTTTTCAGGTTGACAGAGGGTGTAGGGCATCTAGCTCGCTCTCAGAGATGTCAACTCAAAGGGATTTTTCCAAGTGATCTCTGCTTGGTAGAAGTACCTACTTCTTAGCCTGTAGATGTTGAGCTCTGGTTGAAATTATTACAGTTCCACCTTTGTCCCACAGTGCCACTCTCCAGTGAAATTCATCCTGGCATGGAAGACATTGCATGGTAAAAGTCTGATCTTAACCAACTCTTGTGGCTAGAAATCTTCTAGGAATGTCTTCACATTGTTCCACAGAGGACTTGGTAGTACATTAGAAAGTGAATTGCTTGCCTTTTGCCTATGACTAACACGCATAAAATAAAAAACCATTTTTCCTTGTTCAGGCTTGGAAAGGAGGGATAGCGAGGTATTCTTTCTAGTCAACTGATGAATTTCTTCTCTGCCTAAAGACAGGTAGATGAAAGTTCATTTGACTCTTGAATAATCTGAATAGTGCATTCAGAACAGCTGGTTCAGAAGCCTCACTTGGAGAACACTCATGAGAATTCAGTATATTGTAGTCCCAAGTAGTCAAGGAATATGTTCGAGCCTTTTCTCCCGTCGATCTCCTCACTGCATTGTTTATTCCAGAGAACAAGCAGAACATCACCAAGGACCTGAAATCTTACTTGGATTTGGCCCACTAAGAATCTTTCACCATGAACCTTTAAAGATAGCAGTTGTCTGATCTGCATGCTTCTTCTGTTTGTTCTATTTTTTCATAAGCACTTAAAATAATTTAAGATCCCATCCACCCTTTTAACAATAAAATAATTGTGAAATAATTAAAAGGCAATAAGAAATAAAAGAAGCTGCCGAGGACTTGTATGATGCTCGAGTTGAGCCCACCTCTGAATAGCTATTAGCTGACTGTCCACTATAACCTTTTTCTTGTGTCCAGTTTTGAAATCTCCGTGTATGTGGTTGTTTTGAAGTCTACTACATGCAAGCAAGTTGTTTTCCCAGCCACAGTGAAGTAGAAAGCACACCATTCTTAGGATAAGAAGAGTCCAAGGTCCAAACGTGGCTTTCTTAGTAATGATTTGTCTTTGGGTGATGTGGTTGACCTCTCTGAGCCTTTATCTCCTCTTAAAGTGGAGCAGGATGCCATCAGCCTTATGGTGGCTCATGAGAATTAAAAGAACTAACAAATTTGTTGGTGAGGTCATTATCCAGTCATGGAGAGCCAGGCTTCCGGGTCAGCATTTTGGTATCTTCTAAGAACCATAGGCTCCCTTCATCTGGAAAGCTTAGAATTCCAGCCACCAGGTCTATGGTTACAAAAGACACACCGTCTTTTCTCAGAACGCAGCAGGCAGAGCCTTGCTAATCTTCTGGGCCCTGTCTCCCTCCAGGAAGGCTATGGCATTGGGGACGACGAATACTCCTGTGCCTACGACGGCTGCCGGCAGCTGATTTGGTACAATGCCAGGAGTAAGCCTCATCTACACCCGTGCTGGAAAGAAGGTACCCGTTCCTCTCTGTCATGAATTTATCGACTGGGTCCAGACATCTGGTTATGATGAAGGCATCTATTATGTTGGGCCTAAAAATGTTTTAATGGAAGAAGATGTGATATGAAAAGGGATATGAGCCTTTGTATTCCCCCTCATGGATGTAAACAGCGTTCTGATAAGTTCACCTCTGGTAGAGCCCTTCCTTTTGCAAAAGCATTTCAGACTATAGAATTCTTAATTGAGTGGGGAAAATGATAAGATTAATATGAATTCTAGTTTTCTCTCTGGGTATATGCTTTTTTTTTTTCTTTGTTGAGATTTTATTTTTAAGTAATCTCTATACACAACTGGGGCTTGAACTCACAACCCCAACATCAGGAGTCACTCGCTCCACCAACTGAGCCAGCCAGCCGCCCCTCTAGATACATGCTTTGAATCAAAGCATTCAGGGAGATATTGAGGACACTGATATTGTAATGCCAGCAAAATGAGGATATTTTTAGAGGCCAGGTGGCTATGGAATAGGCACTATTCAGTGGCCATATTCTGGGCCCCACTAGAGCAGCTTTTAAGGATGAGTTGAGGGCACCTGGGTGGCTCAGTCGGTTAAGTGTCTGACTTTTGATTTCGGCTCAGGTCATGATCTCACGGTTCGTGAGGTCGAGCCCCGTGCTGGGATCCATGCTAACAGCATGGAGCCTGCTTGGGATTCTGTCTCTCTGTCTCTCCCTCTCGGTCTCTGCCCCTCCCCTGCTCATGCTCTCTCTCAAAATAAATAAATAAAAACTTAAGAAAAAAAAAAAAAAAGAGGCACTGTCTGCAAAGACTGTCTCATTTTTGTTTTCTAATAATTTTAAAAAAGATTACTGAAGTAATATGTTTAGCATAAAAATTTGGGAAATAGGGGAAAGGAGTAAAATGAAAATCCCTTATAATTCCTCCATCCAGAGATTTTTTTTTTAAACACTTAAAATTTGGTGTATGTATTTTTTGTTATTGTCTCACTCCTATGCCTTGAACAGCTTTCCAGGTTATTAAATAACATGATTTTTTTGTGTGTGAAATTTATTCATTTTGAGAGAGAGAGAGTATGTGTGCCAGGGGGCAGAGAGGGAGAGAATCCGCGCCCTTTTTTGCCACCCAAGTGCCCCAGCAGCATTTTCTTCTTAATCGTAGTCTAAAATATTAGACCAGTTGCAGAAGAAGCAAGACTGGTGAATGTGTTGATACATAGCTACAGATGCAGACTTGACTTGATACAATGACTGAAACCCTTGAGACACTGAGCAGAATCCTGGTAGTAGTATACACCCTAACCCTTAGCATGTTTCACTTTCTCCTGTAGGAGACACAGTAGGATTTCTGTTAGACCTAAATGAAAAACAAATGATCTTCTTTTTAAATGGCAACCAGCTGCCTCCTGAGAAGCAAGTCTTTTCATCTACTGTGTAAGTAGCTTTCCTCAGTCAAAAATTTGAGTAGATGCATGGAATTCACTTTTCTCCAGAAAAAGACCTTGTCCATTTATGTAGTCAGTTGTGATGAGAAATCATTTTATTTAGAGTAATTAAGGACCCATTTGATCATATCTATAACCATCCTGAAGCTTAATATAAGAAGATGAGGTTAGGACATTGTCAGGGTCACAGTCCTGTCTAGGTTAGTAAACAGAATCCATTACCCTTCCTTTCTAGTAGGGGATAATGTCTAAAAACCACTTCCATGTATGAGCTTTACTTTGTTTTCATGAATTCTGTTGACCTCTATACTCCTTTTTACTTGTAGATCTGGATTTTTTGCTGCAGCTAGTTTCATGTCATATCAACAATGTGAGTTCAATTTTGGAGCGAAACCATTCAAATATCCACCATCTATGAAATTTAGCACTTTTAATGACTACGCCTTCCTCACAGCTGAAGAGAAAATCATTTTGCCAAGGTAAGGAATCTGCTTAGACTACCTGTAGACTTTCACGTGCATCTCATAAGAAGCTGAAACAGTTCCTGAAAGACTTTTTACAAATAATTTTGAAGACCTGAAAAAAATGGATGACCTCCTAGGAAATATAAATTACTCAAACAAATCCCGGAAGAGATATAAACTAACCAGTTATTATCACAAAATTAATTGAAATGAAGTAAGAGATATGTCCCCCAAAACACACCAGACCTGGGTGATTTCACAGGAGATTTCCACCACATTTTTTTTTTAATGTTTTTATTTATTTTTGGAGATGGAGACAGAGTACGAGTGGGGGAGGGGCAGAGAGAAAAGGAGACACAGAATCCGAAGCAGGCTCCAGGTTCTGAGCTGTCGGCACAGAACCCGGCACAGGGCTCAAACTCATGAACTTCGAGATCGTGACCTGAGCAGAAGTCGGACACTTAACTGACTGAGCCACTCAGGCACCCTTCACCACATTTTTAAATAAAAGATAACTATTTAAATATCACTATTTAAAATGTTTCAGAACCAGAAAGAAAGAGCACTTCCAAATAATTTTTATGAGCTAAATAATATCGGTATAAAAACCAGGCAATATAACACATGCACAAACACACAAAACAACTGCAAACTAACTTTACCTAAATGTCAATGAAAAATCTTAAATATTAGGAAATCAAGTACATTTTTTAGCAGATATGCTTTTAACTTTGGAGTTTGTTGACACATACTTCTCTCTCTCTCTCTTTTTTTTTTTTTAAACATTTCTTTATTTTTGAGAGACAGCATGAAGCAGGGGACGGGCAGAAAGAGAGGGAGACACAGAATCTGAAGCAGGCTCCAGGCTCTGAGCTGTCAGCACAGAGCCCGATGCAGGGCTCGAACCCATGAGGCATGAGATTATGACCTGAGCCAAAGTTGGACGCCTAACCGACTGAGCCAACCAGGCGCTCCAGAAACATACTGTTGCACTGCCAGCACTGTTCTACAGCTATTAGGACAGTGAATGCCATCTTGCGTAAAATTCCACAGCCCTTCTTTGCCGAAAAGTGTGATAGACATTAGTTATCTCCTTGGAAGAGTATCTGCTTTTCTTTCTTATGAGATGAACGTGGTCTGTTCCTTAAGCTGAGAAAGACTCAAGCTGCTTCCTGGTAATGATCTGAACTGGAAGCTTGTTTCACAATACGAACCAAAGCTTATCATTTTTTAACAGAGCAGTTTTCTAGATCCCTGTGGGGAAGGGGATTCTTGCCACATGTATTATATCAATGACAGAGATCACACTGGCCATGGTGCGGTCAGTGTTGGGCTGTCATGCCCCGGAAGGTATATGTAACATAATGTTATAATCCTAGCTCCTGTTTTGGCTCAAAAATCAGGCCTATAAACAGCCCTTCTAGGCCATGCTTCACCTTGGACGTAGTGTCTCAAGCCTGAAGAGCGGCTCAACAATTTGCAAACGAACCAGAAAAGGTCACAGAGTGACCCAGCAGCATTGCCTGCTATGGCAGAACCTCCGTAACATCACAAGAACAGAAGGGCCCCTTACATACCAGCTCAGGGACCTGAGGTTCATTCCTAGAACTTCCCTTCAACTTGTGTTGGTGCCTGACACAGATTATGAACTTTAAATTCCTCTTGAATTTAGTGAAAGTCTGAAGTAATACCTCTTGTCTGTCATACCTCATTCCTTTTTAATTTAGCCTGTCTCACTGGAAGCGGCCCATCACTAAGCCTGCCTTGTGACGTATACCCTGAAAAGTGAGGGCAGGCTCCAGGAGTTCCCCTGGAGGCTGGCCTTAGTTAAAAACGGCAACAGCATTTAGAGGACCGCCCCCTGCAGAATTAAGCTTTGTGAAAGTCAGATGGCAATAGGTACCAGCTGTTCAAAAGTCTCCTTTTACGGGCAGCTTCCAAGTACTCAGTACCCTGTCAGGTCAGCACCCAGATGCAGCCTGCCTTGAGTAAGAGCAGAGTTCCAGGTTAGGGCATCTTACGTTGCACTGTCTCTGACAGTGACACCAACACGGGAGTTGCTGGAGGCTCATTGAGTGGCGTCCTCCATGGCACAGAAACCTCTTTAACATCTCAGTTGCACCTCATTGTGGCATTAGGTGTGAATGTGCCTGAGACCATTTCCTATGCTGTTAATATTTTCAGCCTGTGTTCCAAAAGCTTATATTCGGCTTGTGTTTGTTTATTCACTGGAATATATTCCTTTCTGGCTTCATGGTAAGAGATCATGGCCCTGTTACTATCTGGGATTTTGTAAATTGCTCTATATACTCTCTGTCTCTAATTCTCATTCATTTATTCACTCTTTTTTTTTCTTTCTCCTTCTTAACCTTTTTATTATACACACAAAAGAAAAACAGACTATATGGCGAACCTAGTCACATACAGGGTTGGAGGGGAACTACTGTCTTCCTTTGTCTGAGCCCCGTTGTCATTCCAGGTCCCCTGGCCATAATCCTAGAGGTTCTTTGACACCTTACTTTCCACCATTCCTACATCCTACTCAGAAAATACTGTGGGCTGTGCCTTCGGAATATATCCCACATGCAACTACAGCTTGTCACCCTCACTCCTGCTACCATCGTCCAAGCTGCCTTTTTTTTTTTTCCTTTAGCTAGTCTCCCTGTTCCTACCTAGACCCCCTTCAGTCTATTCAACACAGCCTCCAGAATGATTTTGTTACAACTTAAATCAGATCATGCCCTTCTCTGCTCACAAGACTCTAGTAGCTTCTCGTTTCACTTAAGATAAAAGCTTAAATCCTTACAGTAACCTTCCAGGTTCTACATGATTTGTCCCCTTCCTTCCTTTATTACTTCTCTGACTTTACCTCCTACTTACCCTCTCCCACTTGTTCATGCTCCTTATTCAGCCACCCTGGCCTCCTTGCTGCTCCTGAAACATACCAGATCTATTATAGCCTCAGGGCCTTTGCACTTGCTGTTCTTGCTGCTAGAATGGGCCAGTGTGTGTTTTCCAACACCACCAAGCAATTAACTCAATTCCGACACTGCCTGACTGGAGACAGACAGTGTCAGGTCCCACAAGTTAAGGTCTCATTCCTACAAGGTTGCCCTCTACCCCGACTTTAAATGCCAGTCGCAAGTTCAGGTTTCTATATTTGCTTCTGGCTGACTGGCTGTAAACTGAAGGTTCCCATGATCCCCCTCATCAGGTTTGAATAACCTGCTAGAGTGGCTCACAGAACTTAGGAAAGTAGTTTCTTTGCTAGACTGACTACCAGTTTATTATAAAAGGATTTAATCCAGGGACAGGTGGAAGCAGTGCAGAGGACAGGCAGGTGGGAAGCAGCCTCCATGACCTGTGAGTGTACCATCTCCCCAAACCTCCACATGTTCACCAACCTTGAAGATTTTCAAGCGGTCCCCTTAGGGGTTTCTCTGGTGGCTTATTACAGAGGCATAGTTGATGAGAACATTGGTCATTAGTGAGTACATTCAATCTCCAGCCCCTCTGCCCCCCTGGGAGGTGAGGGGAGGAATGAAAGTTCCAGCTCACTGATTACAGTGTTGGTTCCCCTGGCAGCCAGCCCCAAACTTAGGTTACCTAGGGGCTTTTCAAAGCTGCCTAATTAACATAGCAAAAGACATCTATTGCTCTCATCTCTTAGAGAATTCCCAGGGTTTTAGGACCTCTGTGCCAAGAACCCAGACGAAGACCAAATATGTATTTATTATAAATCGTAATATCACAAATGGTGTCTCTCCAGATATCCACAAGACTCAATCCCTCGCTCCCTTCATATCTTAAATGTCACCTTAGTGAGATCTTCCTTGGCTGTCATATTTGAAATTGTACCTCCCTGCTCCTCGTATACACACTGCCTTTACTCTTCTCCCTGCTTTATTTTTCTTCATACTGCTCATCAGCGCTTAAAATTCTATATATTTTTTTACCTGGTTTCTTTCTGTCTCCCTTCACTGGAGTGTAAGCTCTCTGAAGGCAGGCATATATGTTTTTAGTCCTCTCTTCACTGCTGAGTCTCCAGGCTCAGGCCAGTGTCTGTCACATGGTAAGGCCTGAAGTGAATAGAATGAATGTTTCATGTTTCTCTTGCCCCCTGGCTGTCAGGGCTGCACTTTTAGCAAAGCAGTTCTGCCTGTCCACTTTTCCGTTTCAAACTGAGTGGAAGTGTCATGCAAGGATTCTAACCTGAGGTGTGTGGACTCCCAGAAGAGTCTGTGCTGGCCTATCATAAGCACCTGAGACTGTATAGAAACTTGTGTGTGTGCATTTTTCTTGGGAAAGACTCCGCTGCTTTTCATCAGACTCTCAGAGCTGTGTGACTCAAAGGTGAAAATTTGCTGGTAAAACAAAGAGTACTAGTCTGAGAACCAAAAGGTTGGCATTGGATTCCTGAATCTGTTTCCCATGTGTTGACCTTATGCAGATCACTTCCATGAACTGGTTCTTTGCCTATAAAATGGGATTGATCACATCTGTGTCATTCTCTACTGTAGAAAATCACTGTCAGGTTGAAATGAGATGCGTGTGTGCAAACCTTCCTAAACAAAGCTTAAGGAGTGCGTGGCATACTTCACACGGACAGAGCATTTTCACAGCATTTCATATGCATCACTGCTCATAGGCCCATTGATTTGTTGACCAAATAAGTTGTAAACTACACTTTCTCCTCAGGCACCGGCGTCTTGCTCTGTTGAAGCAAGTCAGCATCCGGGAAAACTGCTGCTCCCTGTGTTGTGACGAAGTAGCAGACACACAGTTGAAGCCATGTGGACACAGGTAAGAGGGTTTGCTCATTTCTTCTTTTTTGTATTACATTAGGCAATCATCCTATTCTTGAATTATTTTATGGTTATCAGAGAGGAAGAAACTTTCCTCTGTCCAGGGTTCTTCTAACTGGACTAAGAATTAAATATATATGATACAGATTAACAGGAGAGAATCAAATGTAGTTACGTGCACATGGGGAATCCACACAGACATGAAATTCCAAAGACAGGCAAAATGAGGTATGCATGTCGTCCTCAGTTAAGGAAGGGGGTAGGGGTCTGGGGGTAAAAAGGGAAGGAAAGCCCTTAGCAGGAAGCAGAGGGGATGTTTGGAAAACAAAGGTTGCCCCGTTGTGCAGATATGTTTCTTAGGTAAAGAGGAATCTCTTATTAATAACTCTCTTCCTGGTAACAGGTCCTCTATTTAAATTCTTTTTAGGCAGTTGCAGGGAGGTCAAAGTTTCTTCCTGAGTCTTTTGGACCTTGATTGTTTTCAGCTCAGAATAATCTGTGTGTCTTTGCAGCCCGTCTTGGGCTGTCTACCCTTGTACCCCACACAATGTTACCAGTTCCATAGCTGTTCTTTAAGGTTTATTATATACAAAGTGGGCTGGGAAATTCGAGTTTGCCAGACAGTTCATGGCTGTCTTCCAGAAAGTACCTGAAATAGAAGAAGCTGTTTGATGGAAGGCCTCTGTTTTTATCTTGTTTACTCAGTACTATATTTTAATACAGTTTTACAAAATGTAAAAGGCCTAATACTACTTACGATCCTCTTGGGAAATCCCTTTTAGTTTTATTTTTAGGGCCTCCTCATTTACTAGCTACTTAACCCTCTAACCATTGAGAAGGCAGCACCTTCCTCCCATGCAGCCAAGTTGAACTAGAAGGCAGCCTGGATCCTGTAAAACAGTGTCTAAACATCAGCAAGAGCAGCAAGTATGACGCCCCCAAGAAGGCCTCCCAACCGAGTTTGGAAGCAGAGAGAGATGGGGCACCTGGGTGGCTCAGTCGGTTAGGCCCTGCATTGGGCTCCACGCTGGGCACAGAGTCTACTTAAATAAATTTTAGAAAGGAAACAGAAAGAGGAGCTGGGCAGTGGGCTGGCCCTGACCTGGCCCAGGCATGTGTGCTGACTGTGGGTGAGCAGTGCCCGGGCCAGTCTTCCAGGCCAGCTCCCTGTAACTCAGCACATCCTCTCTCCTGCCCTGCTCTTGTTTTTGACAGAGCTTTAGCCACCAGAGCTCCTGAGGGTCCAGAGTCTGAGTGATGGACCCCAATTGTCACCTCCAGGTGTGGCTTAGTCTAGGCCCTTCACTCTACCTTGCCAACTTTTGCAGTGGGTTGTTATCTAATTGGCTGATAAGGGAGGTGCATGCTGTGTATCTTATGTCACTGCTCACTGTACCAGTTTCTCTTCGAAAAGAAAGGCACGGTGACTCCAGCGGTAGCTATTTCCTTGGTATTGACTCTGCAGCCTAGAATTCTCAGTTTGAGCACCTTTGAAGATTTTAGTTATTAGGGCCTCACAGGCAGATGCAAAGTTTAAAGGATGGATATCTCGATACCCCTTTTGATCTTTGTTTGTGGGAGGATGTTAAGATCCCAAAGAGCAGTATCTGGTCTTAACTCGTCTTCGGGCTCTCTGGCCTTCTCAGTGGGTTTGCTCACAATGAGCACTTGTAAATGAGGGCTGAAATCTAAAAACTTAGAACCAGCTATCTTAGCCTCCGTAATAGATATATACAAAACAGGATTGGAAGAGGAAATGTAAAGAGTTATAAGAAAAGTTAGCTCAACTTTCAGCAGCAACAACAATTTTAAAGGGTTAAGAAAGGAAATCCGGATAAACTGAATGTCGTGAGCTGACCCTGGGATGAAATGGACAACCTAGGCATTTCTATTACCGTAGAAGAAAATTGAAATTATCAAAGGTATATTTGCCCTCCATTCCCTCCGCCCCAAGCACTAAGCCCAGATGGTTTCACTGATAATTCTTTCAAACTTTGAGGGGCTGGGTAGATTCTATTTAAACCTCTCCAGGCCAGGAGCACCCGGCTGGCTCACTCAGTGGAGCATGCAACTCTTGATCTCGGGATTGTGAGTTCGTGCCCCACTTTGGGTATAGAGATTACTTAAACAAGTACATAAAAAAAATAAACAAGGGCTGTCTAAGAATACGTACCAAGAAATATGTGGTGCCTATGAGAAGAAAACTTTTAAACTACTAAAGAATGCAAGATAAGATTTGAATAAATGGGTCTGTTCTTGGATAGGAAGTCCTGTTGGTGTTTTAAAGGTGACACTTTTCTCTAAACCATAAGTTTAATCTGGGTTAACTTTTTTTTTTCTTCTGAAAATAGAAATGCTAGTTTAAAAGCTTGCTTGTATGCTGGGACACCTGGGTGGCTCAGTCGGTTAAGCATCCGACTCTTGATTTCAGCTCAGGTCATGATCTCACGATTCGTGCGTTGGAGCCCCGTGTCAGACTCCACACTGTCAGCGTGGAGCCTGCTTGGGATTCTCTCTCTCCCTCTCTGCCCCTTCCCTGCTTGCCAGCTCACTCTCTTAAAATAAGTTAAAAACTTTAATTAAAAAAAATAAGTAAAAACTTACATGCTATAAATAAGACAAGAAAATTCTGAAAGAGAAGAGTTACAGAGGGGACCAAACTACCTACCACATCTTAAGATATATTAAAATAAATGCTAATAGTTCGCTCCCCATATATAAAAAGAATGGCAGAACTGTGGAGAACAGAATAGAAACCCAGAAATAGAACTAACCACAAGTGAAAATTTCACATATAAAAGCCTCGTGTCAAATCTGCAGTGCAAGATGGACTGTTTGATATTGGGATAAGTGGCTAGCTGTCTGGGAAACAAAGCGTGTTGTGTCTCGACCTACCATACACTTCTGTAAGTTTTTTTCGTGTACATACAGACTTTGTGGAAGAATATACTTGAACTTTTTACTTACTCCTCACAAGATGAGGGAGGATCAGAAATGAGAGAGAGACTTGTTTGTTCATATATTTGCTTCATTTTTTAACCATGTGTAATGATTACCCTTTCAATTAGCCAGCTTGTTAATATTTTAGACTGAGTTGGCACATTGTCAGTTTGACCTCCTGAAGCATTAACCTAACTGGCACTTGTATCTTTCTCCTTAGTGACCTGTGCATGGATTGTGCCTTGCAACTGGAGACCTGCCCATTGTGTCGCAAAGAAATAGTGTCTAGAGTCAGACAGATTTCTCATATTTCATGACACATGTGAAGAGGCATCATGGACTTATTTCTACTCAATTCCAGCCAATGTTGAAGAGAAAAAACAAAGAAAAAAAAAAAACATCTCTAATCAGTTGTGCGCACATTGAAACTTATAGCCATGGCCAGATTTTATGCTAAAAATGGTAGTTTGTCAAAGACAAAATTCTCTTAGAATCTAACCCAACTTGCCAGCCCTGAGAAATTCCTTTTAAGGCCAAGGAAAGCTGAGTGCTAACAGCTAGGCCTGTGGTACTTCCATGGAACACGCTAGGAGACAGTGCCCTCCCAAGTGCTGAAACCACACCGGAATTCTCCCATGTTGGGTTCATGTGAATGTCTAACAGGATGTTTTCTCTCCTATTCTAAAGTTTTTATTTGGGGCAGAAGTCATTATGGAGAAGTAAATGACAGCGGTTCTGGGTTAAGCATAACTTCCAACCGGTCAGAGAGGCCCCGGTGTGTTAAGCGTGGATCTTGCCCTGCAAAACTTGAATCTATAAACCAGAACCACACAGGTCAATACTACAAGCAACATGGAGGGCCCGAAAGAAGGTGCACAGACTGTGGAGAAAACCCAATTTTTGATATTTCCGTGATTCCAAAGAACATTGTAGTTTTTTTTTAACTGCAGAAAACTGGTGTATTTTCACATTCATGGTGTTTCTATCCAGTTTCAGTATCCGCATTTTGTGAGGAAAAAATGTTTTAACAATGCGGGAGGAATTCTTAAATTAATTGCAATGTTAGACTGGAGAAAATTTGGTATTTAGGGTATTTTTAAGGTACCATCAAATCAGGTTTTTTGTTTTTTGTTAAAATTTTTTTTTAATCAGTATTGTTTCTGGAAGTAATATACTTTGAAACTCTTGAACTAACAGTCTCAAAAACTCTTAGAGGACAGTCTGAGAGCACGTATTCCTGTTGTTTTAAATAAATACCTGTTTTTGAATAGTATATTCAATCATGGATTGCTGACTATGTCTTCATCAAAAGTGTTAATCCCTCTCAGGGTCTCTGGTGAAGACCTTCAAGAGTTTGGTTTTTTCTCCCAGAAAATTGGAAGGTAGAATTGTAAATTCATAGAACTTATTTTATAATGGTGTACCTCAGCAGCTGCCTTTCAATTTATGCCAAGTCCTTACTGAGTTTATACTTGAATAGTAAATACGTCTTCTGAGTTTTACAGTGTCTTAAACTCAATGCACATCTTTCTTTCCTCCTTTCCTACCCTTTCTTGTTTGTAATTCATTAAACTGTCCTATTATAGAGATGATTTCCTTCCTGGCCGTACTTGTTGGGGTGCTGGATTTTTTCCATGTCTTTAGTCTTCCATAAATTCAAATATATATATAAATATATATATATATATATATAT